GTACCCAGTGATGTAGTCAAACACCAGTCCGTGTGTTGCTGTGAGGTATTTATAGATGCAACTGAAGTCTATAGTCAGGTGACTTTCAGTAAGGAAGATTATCCCAGGTGGTCTGAGCGAGCCTGACTCAATCCATGGAAAGGCGTTAAGAGTGGAGCTGAAGTTCCCCAGAGAAGACACTCTATTCTATTCGCGAGGTCAGTTCCATGGCGGTGGTGAAGGCGACTGGAGCCCACATGGCTGACGGCACAGTGCGAGTCCAGCCTCCAGCAGCTTCAGAGACATGCTGGGTGTTGTGCGGGCAAGCCCAAATCCCAGAAAGAGAGAAATGGAGGAGGGATTGCGGCATGACCACTTCTTGTGGGAGTCCTTTTTTCTTCTCTGGTGAGTACATCACCAAAAAAAAAAAAAAAGAAATTCTGCTTGTAGATTCTAGCCTCAGGCCATGTCTGAATGTCCCAATCTGCTCTCCCTGACAGACTGCCCTGCAGACAGTGGACAAGCCTAGTCAGCCCCACAGTCACATACACCAATTCATTTTATGTTGGCCCCTGAACAACACAGGAGTTAAGGCCACCAACCCTCTGCGCAGTTGAAAACCTATATATAATTGTTTTATTTTTATTTTATAAGGAATTATTTACTCAATTTTATTTGTTATTATTTTTAATTTGCTACAGGGCACAAGCGTTCACCAGAGAGAGACAAGAGAGAGAGAGAGAGGAAGAGAGAGAGAGAGAGAGAGAGAGGGAAAGTGAGATAGCAAGCTGCCAGGTCGAGGACTTGAACCATGGTCAGCCATCTTGAAGCCCAGCCCCTTAACCACCATGTCACCTGCTAGCCCCAGAAGTCCAACATATAATTTTTTTTAAAAAAAATATTTTTATTTGGGACCTACTGGCATAATGGCTATGTTGCTGGACTCCCATGTAGTTGCCATGTTTGAGTCCTGGACCTGGCATCTTAAACTCACACCAGAAGCGTGTGCGTACGTGCCCAAGATCCCAAGAGGAGATCAGAGGAGAAGGGATTGTGGTGCGGCCATCCCCCCGGGGGGTGATTTCTCACTTTCTGTCTCTCTGCTCTCTCTGTCTTTCTGGTGAGTGCAGGCACCCTATTGCAAAAACCTCTCAAAAAAAAAAAAAAAAGATTTTTATTTAACTTTATTTATTTATTTGTTTTTAATTTGACCAGAGAAGGACAGTGTGAGAGTGAGTGAGAGACAGAGAAAGAGAGAGAGAGAGAAAGAAAGCAAGTTGCCAGGTCTAGGACTCTGTGTTTGGCCACGTGGGAGTCCGGTGCCCGTAAACACCATGCCACCTGCAAGGACCTCGACATGTAATTTTTGACTCCCTGCAAACTTAACTACTGAGAGCCTACAGTTGACCAGAAGTCTTACTGATAATGTCAACAGTTAACACCTATTTCGTATGTTGTATGTGTTTTTTTCTTTGAGAGGTTTTTGCTATAGGGCACGTGTGCTCACTAGAAAGACAGAGAGACAGAGATATAGAAAGTGAGAAATCACCCCCCAGTGGGGATGGCCACACCACAATCCCTTTTCCTCCATTCTTTTCTCAGGATCTTGGGCATGCACGCAAATGTGCCTGGTGTGAGTTTAAGCCACCGGATCCGGGACTCGAACCGTGGTCGGCTACATGGGACTCCAGTGACATAGCCATTATGCTAACTGCTGATCCCTGTATGTGTTTTATACTGAATCCTTACAATAAAGCAAGCTAAAGAAAAGAAAATATTATTTAAAAAAACATAAAAAGAGAACACTTTTATAGTACTTACTATATTTTCTATGGTGAAAAAAATCTTAACATTAATGGATTTACGTAGTTCAAACCTGTGTTGTTCGAGGACCAACTGTGTGTGTGTGTGTGTCCCCTAGTGGTTGTGGGTCTGTTTCTCTGTGGAACCTCGAGTGGCATGGAGATGATGTGAGACAGAACAAGGACACCGCAGAACCCCTGAGGACAGAACAGAATCTGCAGGCCTCCACGCAGAGCCATGCTGAGGACCTGTGGGAGAAGCTCACCCCGCTTCAGGAAGCCAGCGTGTGCACCTGTCCAGGAGTGGAGGTGGGGGAGGAGCTCTCAGGCTGGAGGAGTGAGCTGGCATGTGTGTGAGGGGCACACAACTGCAGCGACGTCTGACTTCCCACGGCCTTCCTAGGAAAACAGCTGCTGCCTCAGCTCTGCCTTCCAATACTGTGTGTTCCTCCTGTGGCCTGTCAGAACCACAGGGAAGGCAATTCTTTTCTTCTTTTTTTTTTTTTTTAAGAGGGTTTTGTCCTAGGACACCTGTGCTCACCGGGGAAAGAGAGTGAGAGAGAGACAGAGACGGTGAAAGGGAAAGTGAGAACTCACCCCCCCGCCCCTCCCCCCCAGGAAGAAATGGCCAATCCCTTCTCCTCCATTCTCCTCCTGGGATCTTGAGTAGGCATCCACACACACGTGCCCCGCGTGAGTTTCAACCCACCAGGTCTGGGACTCGAACCTCAGTCGGCCGTGTGAATGTTCAGTGACATAACCATATGCCATCTGCTAGCCCCAGGAAGGCAGTTCTGAGAAGTGTAGTTCCAGATTAGCTAGCACAAGGCCACCACAACTGGGGATCTCTGGGGAGCTGTCATGAAATCTTTACATGACAGTTGTGTAGCTCATCCGTCAAGCGTTCAGTCCCACACTCATACCTGACTGCAAGGGGAAGGTCGGTTTCTCTATTAAAGAAGGCAGATGGCTGAGATCCATGATGGAGGAGAACGGCAGCCCGTGTTGCCAGGGTATTCCTTTTTATTTTCTTCAGCATGCGTGTACAAGCCCGGGTCTGGACTCAGACCTTGGAGTCAGCTATGTGGGCCCGGGCCTTAGCCTGCATGCCATCTGCTGGCCCAGAGTGCTGCTCAGCAGTAGGGCCCCGTTCCTACCTTCTAGAACCTGTTTGAAGAGGGGAAATAAGACACTATCAAATCTGTATTAAGCTTTGAACTTTGGACTAAATAGGAATACTTCTCCTTCATAGTCCTCGGAAACTTCATGGAGTGTTTTTATGGGGAAAGAAACTCGTATATGGAAACACTACCCTCAGACAGCAGGGACAGTGGTGACCACCGCAGGTGGGCGAGTATCACCCAGGTGTCAGGGTGCTTCACCTGGATCAGTGGCAGGCCTTTGAAGGAAGCCTGAAGACCAATCAAGGGACAGTCCTGGAGATCCGAGGGGGGCTGTTTTCTTTCATTTGAAGAAGAAAATTCGGAGACCATGACCATGACCAGGGGCCTCCTTTATACATGGCCTGACTGGGGACCTGCTTTACTACAATGGAGAGGGAATTAATTCACAGCTTGGGGTTACCCAGATGAAACAGATTATACTTAAGTGCCCAGTTGCCAATGCAAATCCGAACAAATCAAATCCAGCTCATCCTTTGGCATTTGTAGTTGTATTTAAGGTTGGTTGAGCTTTAGCACAGGCTTGGTGCTGCCCAGGGTTCACAGAGATGGTCACTTGCCCGCACACTGTTACTCACACAGCCCACCATGACCCGAAGGCGGGAGGGCAGGACCGGGTGCCTCTTCACCTCCCTGGCGCACCCCTGGAGCCTGCCTTGTTCTGGACACAGTAAGGTCACTGCCCTCTCTGTGACCATAGGGAAGTGAATGCGGAACGGGGCTAACCAAGGAACTAGGCAGAAAGGGGCTGGACTGAGTGGCAGATAGCTGGGTGAGTTGGAGGTCCATACTAGGCCCAGTATTGGGACAGGCCTCACAGAGGAGCCTGGAGACTGAAGGTAGGGGACCTGAGGGAGGGGCAGCGGTGGGGGAGGCTTAGCACTGCCCCTGGCTCTCCAGGACTGCCCCTGCATGGTCTTCAGGCTTCCTCTGCACTTCCTGGGGGCTGCTGAGGTCTGAGCTCCTGGGCAGCTCCTGGTGGCTGGTTGGGGCCTTGCTCACCCCAGGGGCCTAGTTCTGACCTGAAGGAGTAACCTAAGGAGGGGCTTGGGAGCCAGATGCCACATTAGAACCTTCTAGATTGGTGCAATGTGCTCCATTTTTTGCTTAAGAGTAAGACTCCAGGCGACAGCTTTTGTTTCTTCCTGTGTCACCAGGATGCAGTGGGGCGGGGATCCCCTATGCGACACCTTCAGTAGCCCGTTTTCTTTGTGGGTTTGGAGTACCGGCCTGACCCAGAGGCTGCCCAGCTGTGCTTGCAATGCAGACAGCCAGGGAGGCAGGCAGAGGGGCTGCAGACGCTGTGGTTTCCCTTGCTTTTCAACTCCGGTCTGCCCTCTTTGGCCACGTGATCGACAGGCAACCC